CCCTTCTTGAAGCGTGGGGGATTCTGGGAGTTGAAGTCCTCCCTTCTTGAAGCGTGGGGGATTCTGGGAGTTGAAGTCCGCCCTCTTTTGAAGCCCACCATTTAACCCGACGGAATCTCTTGGCGTCTCTATAGGCGCTGCCCCTTCCAGCTTCCCCATCTCTGAGGCGGAAACCCGGGGGACTCAACCAAATGGCCGTTCCCATTCTTCGAACACCAGGACCTCTGCCCCTAAGCAGAGCGAGCCTCCCAGGTGGAGTCCCTCGGTTTTGTTTTGGATGGACACCCAAAGGACTTCCGCGACGGGTGAGGAGGGCCGAGACTTGAATAAGAGCTGGGAAGCGTGGTGGGCGTCAGTTGAGTCCCTGCCCCCCTAGCAAGGTTGAGTCCCCGCCACCTGCCTGGGAAAAGTGGGGATCGGAAACCCAGATCTCCAGGGATTGGGGTGGGGGGAAATTGGGAAAGAAATGGCATTTTGCACTTAAGTCAGATTGCCTCTTTTTTGTGGGGGGGGAGAAGTAGTGGCTAAGGATGGGAGGGGATGACTTTAAAAATCCCAGCAACCAGTTTGCTGCCTGGTTGCTGGGTGGGCGTGGCCATGGTGGGTGTGGCCTACCGGAAATTCCAATTTTCCAGCTTCCGGTGGGCCTCCAGAGGCCGGGAGAGGCCATTTTTGCCCTCCCAAGGGTCCAGAGGCCTCCCTCAGAGTTCTGGGAGGGCAAAAACAGGCCCTTCAGAAGCCAGAAACAGGCCCCTTCCCCCCCCCCCCTCCCAGAGCCTCCATGCCTACCCTGCACTTACCTGCATGGGAAATGGGCTGCGTTGAGACTCCTGGGAGGGGAGGGGTGGAAGGGGCGGGGCCAGCCAGTTTGTTTGAAATACCAGTTCAGTGAACCAGATGTAACTTTAACATCCGGTTCGCCTGAGCTGGTCCAAACCGGTAGAATCTCACCTCTGCTTAAACCTGAGCCAACCATGTGCAGCCACCACCGAAAAAAAAGCGAAGACAGTCCTCGGTTGTATCAACAGAGGCATAGAATAAAAATCAGGGAAATTAGCACCGCTTTGTAAAGCCTTAGTAAGGCCATCCCTGGAATCCCGCATGCAGTTTTGGTCCCCACGTTACAAAAAGAAAAAGAAAAAAAAAAAGAGGTTAAAACTTTGGAAAAAGAGCAGAGAAGAGCAACTAAGAGGATTAAAGGCCCGGAGATTAAAACATACAAAGAACGGCTGCAGGATTTGGGTTTGGCTAAAAGAAGGAGTAGGGCTGGGGTGGGACCAGGATAAAAGGATGCTTGAGCAGGGGGTTGGACTAGATGACCTCCGAGACCCCTGCTCTCTTTGTCATTCTATGATTTTATAAGGGTCTCCTGCTTGAGTGGGGGGGTTGGACTAGATGACCTCCAAGGTCTGTACCAATTCTGTCATTCTCTAAGGGTCTCCTGCTCGAGCAGGGGGTTGGACTAGATGACCTGCAAGGTCCCTTCCAACTCCATTCCAATCGATCGATGGATCGATTGATAAAGTCCCACCAGAGAGAAGGGCAGGGTCTCACAGATTCTCTCCCCTTCCCCTTTCGCAGCTGGAGACAAGGGGAGCCCCTCGGCCCCAGAGGCAGGACCAGAGGCAAAGAAGAGACCCCACGAGGTGGCCCATCTCTGCCACTGTGCCCATGGGGCTGAGCCGGGGTTCGCGCAGCCCCTCCTGTCCAAACAATTGGGCCGTCTAGCCGCCGACGTGAACGGCCTCTGCCGGGACTTGTCCAGCCTTCAGAGCCACGTCTGGCGTCTGGAGCAGGAGGCGCGGGGCTGGGCACTGGAGCTGGCCGCACTGCACCTGGAGAACCGGCGCCTGGCCAAGTACGCCCGGCGCCTGGAGAACCGCTGCCAGGTTCTGGAGACCCGCTCCCGCCGTCTCAACCTGCGCCTCTCGGGTTTGCCCGAGGGGGTGGAAGGAGGCGACCTGGTGGCCTTCCTCCGACGGACCCTGCCGGAGGTGTTGGGCTGGTCGTCGGGAGGGCCAGCATTGGAGATTGAGAGTGCCCGGAGAGTTGGTGGCCAGGATTCGACCGCCAAGCCGCGCCCAGTACTCTTCCGCCTGTTGCACTCGGCTGACAAAGCCGCTGTGCTGGAAGCAGCCCGCACTCGGCCACTGCGCTTCGCCGAGGCACAACTTGCTATCCTACCCGACCTTGGCGCCCCGCAGAGGAGACCTCCTCTCGGTCCATTCCGGAGGAGCCGTTGGGTGGTCGACCTGCTTTTGGGGGGGCAGTCCCCTGCCCCATGGGGCTTGGGCAGGGGTCCAGCTTGGCGGGAGCCCCCCATCCCTTGCACACCGCTGGCAGCCAAAGCCCCTCCGGGGACGCTGGGGTCTCATGCTCAACCCAACCCATGAGGCACTGTCAAGGGAGGGTTCTGAAAAGTGAGACTTTCCTCTCTCCCATCAGGCAGGGGGTGATGGGCTGAATGAACTCTCCAGCTGCTTTTCCATAGGTTCATTGTAAGGGAGGGGAGGGGGTTTAATAATTGGGTGGGGGGATGGTTGCATCCCATCCTGCTCCCCTCCACCACCGTATTGGCGATCCTACAAGATATTGGGAGAATTGGGGCCTGGGTCTCCAAACTCTGCCCCCCGTCTGCCCCCTTACCCCCCATCAGACTCTTTCTGAGCGAACAGATCTGGGGTGCAGGAGAAGGAGGGGTCAAAAAGCCCCCTGTTTCTCAAGCTTGGCTGCTTTAATAGGGGGGAATTCCCCAGTCAACAAGGGGAGTTGAAGCCCACCTCCCTTAAAGCAGCCAAGCTTGAGAAACACTCTTTTAAGGGGATTCCACCACTCTCAAATCATGCCAGCTGGTGGATTCTGGGGGTTGATGTTGGGTCAGAAGTCTCAAAAGAAAAGGAAATGGGAGAAGAGACTGCTGGGTGCCAAGCTAGTTTGGTCTAAGGGTGAAGATCCTGGCCTAGAAAACTAGGAAGTTGGGAGTTGTAGTTCCCCGAAAGGCAGGAAAGCCAGGTCTAGAGATGAAGACCCTGGTCTAGAAACCACGAGGCTGGGAGTTCTAGTTCCACCATAGGCAGGAAAGCCAGCTGGGGGATTTTGGACCGGTTACCAGAAAACGGTGAGTTCTAGTCCCACTTTAGGAATGAAAGCCAACTGAGTGACTTTGGGTAGGTTACCAGGAGACAGTGAGTTCTAGTCCCATGTTAGATATTGGACCTAACTGGGTGACTTTAGGTCAATCACCAGGAGACAGTGAGTTCTAGTCCTGCCTCAGGCATGAAATTCTTCTCAATGACTTCTAGGCCAATCACTGGGTGACTGAGTTCTAGTCCCGCTTTAACCATGAAAGCTAGCTGGGTAACTTTGAACCAATCACCAGGAGATTGTGAGTTCTAGTTCCACGAGGCATGAAAGCTGGCTGGTCACTTTGGGCTGATCACCAGGTGGCTCCAAGTACGAGTTCTATTCCAGGCCCGAAAGCCAGCTGGAGTGTGTGTGTATGTGTGTGTGAAAGAGAGAGAGAGAGACCTTGGCCACTTCCTCTCTCTCCCACCAACCCACCTCACAGGGTTGTCGTGAGGAGGGAAATAGGAGGAAGAAGGAATGTTATGTATATCCACCACCTTTTCTTGTAAAGTAATAAAGGTGGGATTAAAATAAATAAATAAAATATCTAAGAAATTATCTAAGAAATAAAAGAATGTGTTTTGCGTGATGGTTTGGGCACAATTCTGGGGCTACTGTTTGCTATGATGATGCCACCCCACCACTTCCACTTCTCCTGGGTACACATCTATCCAGACAAATATTATCAAATTTCTAGTCCTCCGTACTTCTCCGTGATATTAACCGAGCATGTTCGAGCTGCTGTCGAATTCTTCCCTCGAACCTGATGCTTTGAGAGTTCCCCGAAGATATAAGCACTTGGGGAGGTTGTTTATTTTTGTCAATGTTCCTATAGTTGATCGGTTGGTGAGTGCTGAGACAATCTGCACTGTGATTGGTCGCTTTGGGGGTGCAGGGGGAGTTCCCCTTTTTGCCCCGCCGTTTTTCTTCTGTCTGCCCTGTGCACTCTGTCGTTGACCTCATAATATTCCTCACGATTTACCTCACAATGTTCCTGTTTGCCTGACTATCTTGTTTGCGGTAAACGTAGATGTCAAATACAATTATCTATTATAAACCGACAAGTTCGTGTCAGCATCTCTGACTCCATTTGGAGGTCAGCTGAGCAATTCCCTCACACAGATCTTCCAAATTATCTGCTCCTTGGCTGCCTGAATGGGAAATGGATTTCAACACGTCCAAGATTTTTCTTTTCACGGGCAATATGCATCCCATGTGCCCTATATAGTTGATTGGTCGGTGAGTGCTGGCTCCTGCCTGAGGCAGTCCGCACTGTGATTGGTTGCTGTGGGGGTAGAGGGGGAGTTCCCCTTTTTCCCCTGCCTTTTTTCTTCTGTGCACTCTGTCGTTGACCTCATGATTTACCTCATGATTTACCTCATGAGTTACCTCATGATGCTCCTGTTTGCCTGACTATCTTGTTTGCGGTAAACATAGATGTCAACTACATTTATTATAAAATGACAAGTTGGTGTCAAGCGTCTCTATTTGAAAGCCAGCTGTCACACAGATCTTCCAATTTATTTTCTCTCTGGCTGCCTGAATGGGAAACGGATTTTATCTCATCCATGTTCCTTTACAGGATTTTGCTTCTCACAGACGATATGCCTCCCAGGCGCCCTCTAAAGCCTGGGAAGACAAGCCACACCCTCCTCAAATATGGTGGAGGTCTCTGATGCTGCTTTCCACCCTGTGTTAATCCATGGTTTGTTTGAACCACAGGTTTGGATCTTGGCTTGGGGAGATCACATGGTTCCTGTGGGCCTCCATTTCAAACTTACGGAGTTAGAAAGCTCTAAAGGGGTTCAATGATTTACGGCCGTATTTCTCAGCCTTGGCAACTTGAGAGGGGAGGGGAAAGGGAAGGGACAGGAAGGAATCAATCAATCAGAATAGAGCTGGAAGGGGCTTTGAAAGTCTTCTAGTCTGTTATTCTGTATGGGTCTCCTGCCTGAGCAGAGGGTTGGACTAGATGACCTCTCAGCCACTTTCAACTAGTCAAGGATGAGAAATAGCTGGATGGATGGGAGATGGGGGTGTGTGGATAGATGGGTTGCAAAGATGAATGGATGGATTTCAAAGAGGGAGGGAGAGAAAGAGATCAGAGGTTCTCATCAGGCTGGCTGGGGAATTCTGGAAGTCAGGCCACCTTCAAGTCACCAAGCTTAACAACTACCTGAATGGGGAGGCTTCCGGTTTTGAGCTTTCCCGAAGACAGACTGTTGACCGTGATTGTGTGTGGCTTTGGTCTGTGCTTTGGTGTCAGAAATCCTTTGGTGTCAGAAATCCTTATAGGGGTGGCGGAGGAAGGGGAGACCATCAGCTGGGTAGAGGGGAGTCGCAAATCCCCTCCCTGGCTTGGCATTTACTCTCTCCCGAAGGTGCCTGAAGCGGTGGTCTAAAATGGCCACCCTCAAGGGGAAGATTAGACTGGAATAAGATTGTGCAGGAGAGAGAGAAAGAAGCGAACAGCAGGAGGAATGGGACAATATAATTAAATGAAAGATACCCCCAGGATTAACATTTTAAAGAAAGGATTCAAAGTAGTGAAGAGAAGATGAAAATGAAGGTGTGAATTGCTTTTGACAGTGGCGGAGCTCTAAACCGTGAAAGGTAGAAGCTGGAGCAGGAATCATATAATCAATTTGGATAAGTATATTTTAATTCTGTATAAGCATCAATAAAGCTGAACTATAGATTGTTAAAGAGGAAATTTAATATCAATTGGATTTGATCTTTTTTTTTTTCTTGGAATGGCTTAAAAAGCTCTGAATAATAGAGAAGAAAAAAGAAACAGTGAAGATTTAGCATAACAAAGAGTGTCATCTAAGTTAAACTTAACTTGTTTTTCTTTTTAAATATGGAAAATTGATACAATAAAGCAAGAACTTTCAAAAACTGAAACATTGTAACAAAGAAAGATACAGGAAGATTCTGCCCTTGGATTATTTGTTGATTCTGATATGGATTTAGCATTTGGATCAGCGGAGACTTAAAACTTGAGAGGAAGAAAATAAAAGTTGACTGTTGGGAATAAACTTTAAAGACACTATTTGGATTAAATTGCTAATTAGAAAGTTGTAAAAGGCAATATCTCTTCTGGCATAAAAAATGGAACTTAGAAAAACAAAAGACATACTACAAGAACGAGGTGAATTACTGGGTTTTCCTTTAAAATTTATTGAAAATGTGATTGCAGAATATGAACAACAAAGACAAAAGGCAGAAGAGGAGGTGGAGTGAATTATTGAAGGTCCATCTTTGGTGATCATCGAGAACAAAGAACTCTGGAAAGAAAGAGGAAAAGAGTTGGAAATAAATACAGGAAATTTAAGAAATTTAATAAAAAGGAGAATATCCGAAAAATTAAAAAAGGGGAAAAGAGTCAGCAGAAATTTGAAGGGCGGAAGGAAGCTGTAAATAGAGGGGGGGGGATAAAAATTGGAGTGAAAGAATAAAAGAGAAAAGACAAGGGGAAAGAGGGGACAAGAAATAGGATTTGAGGAAAAAGAAATATGGGAATTATTTAAAAAATGGGGAAAAATGCTTAATGAGACACAGAGATAATGGGTGATTAATATTTAGAAAGGGGATTCTGCAAAATATTGAGGGGTAATATAAACAAATTCATAGTTATGAATTAGGGACATATAGATTGATAAGATGGAAAATAGAATTGTTATTTTTTGACACTGGAATTTAATGCTCTTCTTCTGTATGCATAGAGATAATTGTAATAAATAATGTAAAAAGCTTATTAAATATATTGAAATATTTTTAGGATTGGAGTGTTGGGTTTTTTTGTTCAAATATGAATGGAATAATTAATGGAATATGTGTATTAAATATATTGAAATAAATGAAATTATATAGGAGGAGAGCTGAAATGGAATTAACTTTAGGGTTTAGGATTGTTTTATGGTTTGAATGAGTAGATTAATATGTCCTTCTTTTCTGAAAAATTGAATGAAATTAAAAAGGGGAAAAACCATGCAGAATCTGATTTATATATGCTATGTAGTTTTAAAGGGATTATTAAGTTTAATGTTTTGGGTAGTGAATATGTAACTTAGAGGTGCCACACTTATATTGATATTTCAAGGGGGAAACCAATTTATAGAAGAAGTGTTTAACTAGAATTTAAGATGAAATATACAAATGTGACAGTTTAAAGTACTAAAGTATAATGATTATGAAGTTAACATAACGTGAATTAAATAATAAGTATTTGGAATAATATGATAAAATAGAAAATGTATAAAAACATTGTTAAGATAAAAAACTGGATACAAAAATTGAATATGTAACTATGATCATATTTGTATGTATATGTGAAACCTGTAATCATGCTGTAATCACTAAAAAGAGATGTTAAAATGTGGAAAACCGAATAAAACTTGTTTTTTAAAAAAAGAACTACCTGGACGGATGGTCAGATGGACGGATGGAGTGAGATAGATCAGGGCTCCTCAGATCAGTCGTTGAGGCCACTTGGAGGTTTGTCTCTGTGTCCTCAGCGTCACCTGGGCGGGGCAAATGGGTGTGGAGCTTCACCTCAGTTGTGAAAATGGATGTGGTGACCCTGAGAAAACCGATAAACCTCCAAGTGGCCTCAACGGCTCTCCAAAAGGATGCAAATGACCAGCTGCCTGCAACAAGTATCAACCTTTCCCTTCCCCACCATCCAGTCAGAGCTGAGGAAGCTTCTCGGATGAGAAGCGAAACGCCTTCAAAGAGAAATCGGAAAGTCCAGTTGTCTCTTGAGAAAATGCACTTTTGGGAAAAGCAATATATATTATAGCTGGATACCCGTGTTTTGCTACAAAACTATGTTGGTTGGGCTTAGTTTTTTTGGGAGGAAAATAAGGGGGGAAATTCTGCCTCTTGCCTACCAGCATCCATCGATATTCATCTTGCTAGCGTCCTGCCAGTGTGTGTGACAGAGTTGAGGGCTGTTTGGAAACTAAAACCATATTTGCTGTGTGAGCAAGAAGGAGGCAGCAAGGAGCCTGGGCATGGCTTAGCTCAACTGCTCTGGACCAAAGCTGCTTGGGGCTGCTGTGAAACTGAAACTGAAACTTCTCTGCTTGTGTTTTGCATTTGGAAGAGATTTCTTTTCAGGTGGGAACGGGGAGCAGAACTCCTTAGCATCAGAGCATGTTAATAATAATAATAATATAGGAAATACTAATAGCTCTGATGGTCATTTCGAAAAATCCTTTGTTAGTGAGAGAAAAATTATGTTACCCTTTTATAATAGACTTTATATAGCAAAATTAGAACATTATTTGGCTCTTTAGACTAGAAGATTCTCTTTCACTCTTTTCCGATGCTCTTGTTAGCTTCCTCTGTCTTTGCATAAACCCTTTTGTTTCTATTGGAAGGATTCATCAACCCAGCCAAAGAGGCCCCACAGATACGTGATATATTGTTAGGAAAACAGGAAGACCTGCCCAGGGTAGGCAAAGTAAATCAGATAAGAACATCCCCAGGAGCCCAACCATAAATATAAGATAAGACACCGAAGCACAGGAAATAATGTCACGCTGACCCCAAGTTAGTAGTTTAGCATATAGAAAATAAGGGGGTGAATGAGGAGGCCTTTATCTAGGCATGGCATGTTTCTGTGTAGGGGTATAAAATGTATAGTTTGAGTATTGAAACTTGTTCTTCTTGTACCCAATCCACTTGGGAAGGGACTTGAAGGCCCGTTTGCAAACGCTTATTTTCTTTAATAAACTTTTGAATGGTGAACCAGTCTTGTTCCTGTGTTGTGAGTATTGGATAATTCGGTTCTTACATTAGTGAGAGAAAAATTATACGTTGCTCTTTTATCATGGAATTTATATAGTTAGATTTCTAGAAGATTCTCTTTTGCTCTTTCTGATGCTTTTCTGTTAGCTTTTTCTTTTTCTGCATAAAACCCCCACCTTATAACCTAAAATGTGTTCAGTCACAAGAACATATGATGCATTGTTATAATCTTGGAGAACGGAAAGATCTGCCTGGGCTAAGCAACAAGGGAATATCCATCCTCCCAAGGAAAAGAAAGCCCAAAGCCCAGCAATAAAACCAAGATAAGACACTGAAACACAGAAAAAACAATGTCTTGCTGAATCTCACGCTTATAGTTTATCTCATTTTAGAATATAGAGAATAAGGGTGTGTGTGTGTGTGTGTGGGGAGGGCTTCTTAGGCGTGGCGTGTTCTGTGCAGGGGTATAAAATGTATTGTTTGAAGATGGAGGCTTGCTCTTCTTGTACCCAATCCGCTTGGGAAGGGACTTGAAGGCCCGTTTGCAAACGCTTATTTTCTTTAATAAACCTTTGAATTGTAAACCAGTCTTGTTCCTGTGTTGTGAGTATTGAATAATTCGGTTCTTACATCTCACATTAGCGAGCATGTGCCAAATGTCAAGTTTGTAGGCTTTACGGTTCTGGAGATTTTGTGATGATGCGTGAGGGGTATTTTGCTTTCATCTATAGAGGTATAGGAGACTCCGGGGGCTGGGCTCAGTGAGGCCACTTTTGACGGCTGACCGCTGCTTGTATTCTGCACTCAGAAATAAATTTCATGTCCGCAACAATCAATTCCCTCTCCTCTACTTCTGCTTTTTTTTTTTTTTAAGCAGATCTCCTGACACTAGCCAAGGTGGGCCTCAAACTCGTAGCCTCCCAGGTTTCTAGCCTGAGGCCCCTAACTAGTACACCCAGGTGGCCTCTGTCCTGGCTGGGGACTGATGGGAATTGGAGTCCACCCAGCTTATATTTTCCCCAAGCAGAAAAACACGGCCCTAAATGATTTGGCTGGTTTTAGAACCTTCTCTCTTAGTTTGAAACCGAGGCTCACAGGAAGCAGGCTTCCGGCTAGCCACAAGCCATGATCAGAATGTAAGGTTTGAATGAACTGTCTAGGACAGTGGTGGCTAA